CTGACTTCTCTTCGAATTATAAAATGAACTTTAGACGATTAAAAATCAGAAACAGTTTAGTTTTATGTTTTATACTTCCTCAAATATTATAAATATCATTTGTTATGAATGTTTTACACCAGTTAATCGTTTTAATAAAACCTTTGAGGTTTACTTACGGAACAATGATGAACAACGGAAATATTATCGATAACAACATAATAGGAAACCGATCTTATATTATCTTTGTGGATTTGTTGGTTTCAGAAATCTGTATAACTTTTGTTGGTTGGTTTGGGTTGACTCTTCGCCGAACTTTCAACAGGAAAAAAAATAAAAATATTTTTCGCCTTTTTTTTTATTAATATGTTTTAAGCCATGTTTACTGAACCATTGGCTCCGATGAGAATACGGTTACGTAGAAAAACCCTTAAATGGAAGTCTTTATTTTACCTAAAAAACGAAAAGTGATAAATAGGTTTGTAGATTTTTTTTTACTTTCCAACTGGAGCCACTTCGTAATTCATCATTGAAAAATAAATATGGTAAATAAACTGTGTGGTAAAATGTTAAAAAATGTTAAAGATGCGCTACAATTGTTACATCGCTACTGTTATTGTTAAATGATGGCGTATGTAAAAACTGATTTTTTTTTAAACGGAAAAGTATAAAAACCTATTATTTCTTTACGATTTATTAGTATGACGTCATATTTTATTTCCCTCTGCTATTTTACTATTTAGCAGACTATTTATACCAGTTGCAGACTACAAAATGTCACCTATAGCACAAATAGAATTAACATACAAAATTATTACATACGACTTTTTATACTAACAGTAGCGACTTGTTTTTGAGAAAAAAAAGAAGCGTTTGTTTTTCAATATCTATAAAAGTTTGTATTTTTTGCTAGTGCGCGAAATGTATTTATATATATGTAGGACGCATGTCGGAACTAAAAATCGTTAGATTGACTCGAACTACCAATCATTTTGCTTTCCTGAGAATCAATATTAACAATTGCCATACGCAATTTTTGTATAGGAAGAAGTTTTCGTTTGACCATTATATCAAAAGGATATTAATAATTGAGAAATGTTATCAGTCGATACAATTTTTCTCATGATTTTTAGTTGAAGGATACGGTAGTCACCATACAAGTTTTTTCAGAATAGATAAGTAGAACCGTTTTGGTGCTGAAGACAACTGAAAATGAAGTTGTTTTTTTGTTACGCGTACGTCTCCCGGTTTGGTATGTTGGCACCAAGGTTCTAAAAACATTCTAATTAACAACAAATTCGTTCAAATTCGTCGAAGCTATTTGAGCTATCGTGATTCATATTCTTGTATTTTTGGTCCATGGAAAAAATATTAATCAAGTCGGAGACAACAATAGTGACAACAATAATAACAGAATGTTTAATACCAATTTTATTGATTTTATATTAGTAAATAAATTTAAATATAAATCATAATAGTGATCAGTATTTTTTTATCATTCGTCGTTTTAATGTTTTTTTTTTCTCAATAATTCATGCCATTTTAATATTTATTTTCGACTACTTTTATTTGTGTATTATTTTTTTTTTTTTGTAATAATCCTGTGTTTTCTCTCTGACCAAATATTATCGCCTTTGTTGGCTATATGTGACAAAAGCATGATATCGGTTTAGAAATATCGCAGCTTTCTAGAAGATGTAATGTTGTAATGACTTCATCGTAACCTCGCTGGTCTCCGGCCAAAATATTCGGAAAAAAAACTGTTTTTCCCTTCGTTGAGATCGATGCCTTTGATTTGAGAATACCTGTTCGTTTTATTTTTATCTTGATTAAACTGGATCTCAAGGTCTTATTTAGGTGGGGTCAATTTTGAGAAAGGATTGGGATTGGTTAAGGAAAATTAGTTGATTCATTGGTGATGTCAGAAGTGTTTTCCAGCATGATATAAATTTTACTGATAATAAATTAGTAACAATTTATGTTTAACACATCCTTAAATAATACTTTAGATGTATCCTACTGATATGCAATAGTAAAAAGAATTATTTATTTATTTTTACCATAGAAGTGGTATTCACCAATATTCAAGTCTAAATAAATATATGTAAAAATAAGATATGAAATAACTTGTACCATTTCTAGACCGTACGATTCGAAATTATTTGTAGTTTAAAATTATGTTTATTACAAAAAAAAACATAAATTCTAATAATGCTTGGCTTACTCGTTTCTCATTTTTTCGATTGTTTAACGGACATTAATAAAACGACCCCAAATAATTAATTTTCGAAATTGGAGATAAGGATAATTATTCCAAATTAATTTAATTTTCTGAGCGCTTATAAGACAGCTATATTTAGTTTCAAGTGAGAATGTGAAAGGATAAACAACCAGTTATTTTGCATAAACGGTCGGATTTTTGTTTCTACGCTACGATTTGGACGCTTTCTCCTTGTAGGTCGTTGACATTAATTTTTATTAACTATTGTTCTGGCATAATTATGCAAATATTTATATTTATAACTTATCTAATCGTTGATTTAGTTGTGAAATCGAAGACCCGCTGGTCCAACGAGTTAGAATGTGGACTGAAAATGAAAGCTGATATTTCAACGTGACAATTGAAAATGTCAGTTGACTGAATTATTCAAATTATTATTATTTTATAAAGATTATTTTTTTTTTTTTAATTTTCAGTGTATCAGTGTTTCGTAACATGTCTAATACATTTTTATAATATTGTTTCGTTACTCATTTTTATTATATTATGTGTATAATGAAAGAAAATTGTTTTATTTTTTCCGTATCTTTATAGGTTGGTTTGTAGATATTTTTTTTGTTATTATAACTACTCTTACAGTAGGGATGTTGAAAAAATATCGATAAGTCGAAATATTGATATTTTTATTGAAATGTGTACATATATTTGCCAGTTTGTATTAAGTCGGTATTTGTTAATATCGACATTAAAATTGTGACTCGACTACCGACATTGTCTCCTAAAATAATTAAATACATAAATTTGTATTCAATTTAAGTAGATTTTCACTAGAACTTAGTAATACCTTTTCCTTTTTAATGTTTATAAATGGATTTTATTTTTATTTTTTTTAAGATATTCAATATTTCAGAGTGCAAATTCATATCCTGCAATTCATTGTTAACTCTCCCCCTTAACAAAGATTAAATCAAATATATCGAAATATCGATATTTTTTTTATATCGAATTTGTTTTGGGTTGTATTTGAAAACTATAAGATATACCTCTGTTTGTATGATTATTTTTCTGAATATAAATTTTTAAAACATTATGTTAGATTATACAGTAGTTGTAATACTAACTAAAACGCAAAAATCAAAATTGTAAAATAACATAATTTGAAACACAGGAATGTCATTTTGTCTAAGAAACATATGTACAAATAAATAGAACACTATTGTGTTCTATTTATTTGTACACATGTTACTAGCCAAACTCAAGAAAAATTTAACGAAAGTTAGATCAGTATATATATTATAAAAAGTTAACATATATAAATAGCGAAATAACTTCAACTGTAAACAAGATAAGAAAATTAAATGAACAGACAGAATAAATTAAGCAATAAACTAAACAAAGAAAAGTGAACACCATGAATTAAACCATTTGGTTTAAAATTTAATATATTAATCCTGATAGTAGAAAAGAACAGAATAGTTTATTTTATTTGTCTAATGGAATTTCTGTACAAATGAACATAAAGGTATTATTAACAATGTTAAATCTTGAGTCTAGTACTATGTTCAAACATAATATTAACAACGCCCGCAGCATTAAATATGACTAATAACAGATTAGTGAACAATATATATAATTAGTAAAACAATTTTTTTATTAAAAATAAATTTAGTAAAATATTCCAGACGTATTAAATAAATAACAATATAAATATGCATTAATATGTGTTTATGTGATTAACTATACCACCTAACAGTTCAATAAACAGCCTTGTATGAAATAATATATTTGATTTAATTTTTTCATAGTATCTATACACAGTAATAAATGTTTACAAGTACTTATTCTCAGACAAAGACCTCTTTTTGTAGAATTATTTCATCCGCCTGAAACTTCGTAAAAAGTTTCGTCTCATCGTAAGCTACAACTATTTTAATTACGAAAACTCTTGGAATTGGGGCGTTTTCAATCTGGAGGGGGGCAAACTTTGTCTATTTAATTAGGTACTAAAAACTCATAAATACACATTTGTTTTCTATTTGGATCGTAAGATAACTTGATCACAAAATCGATAAAAAAGGTGACCTTAAAAAATATTGGGCCGTTTGTGCCGTATAACCTCGTTGTTTTGAAAACTTGGTGCAGGTCACGCCAAACGGCTGAATATTTTTGAAGGCCACTTTTTTTCCTCGATTTTATGATCACCACCTTATCTTACGAACCAAGTAGAAAGCAAATGGGTATTTACGAGTTTTTAGTACCTAAATAAATAGAAAAAGTCCAGATTGGAAACGCCCCAATTCCTAGAATTTTCGTAAATAAAATATTTGTAGGTGTCGGTGAGATGAAACTATTTACAAAGTTTCAGGCGGATGTTAATAATTCGATAAAAAGGGGTCTGTAGTTAGAAGGCAGTTGCATGCACCACATACTTCACTAGATTTAATAGTCAAAGTAGTATCTGAATCTTGGGTTTAATTTAGAGTTTAAACTCTGTCGATGTCCTTGGATGCATGGTGGTTTCTCATTTTTTCAGCTCCACATTCCAATTCCGCCACAATCATCTTTACTTTTAATCCTTATAATATATTCATATAAGGAATATTCAAGGGTTTTAGTTATGTGGGAAGGGATAAAGATATCCGAAACACGTGATCTGTTTTTCTGTAGCTAGACCTAGATCCTGAGTTTGAATTGCAGGAGACTGTAGATATAAGGAGCATACTAGGAGTTAATGAATTTACTTTTTTTTAATACTTTTTTTTTTTTGACACTAATTCTAAAATTTAATTATTATTTACAGGAGGATTGGAGCAGTGGCTTGCTCGCCAGACTGCCTAGCTTCACCTGGCCCAGCATGCCGGCTCTCCGGGGAAAGCGAGGCTGGTGCGGCTGTTTACAGGTAAAGATTGTTTAACCATCTTGTAATCATTTTTACTCATTATTAGAAAAAAATAAGTAATATGATAGTGTGATAGTTATTCACCAGTTAATGGGCATGTTATACTCAATGAAAAAAATCAAACAAATGACTACTACGTGTTTACCTATACTAGTGTTCTCCCAGTGGTCGAAATTCGACTATATCCATTAAAAATTTGAGAAGAACATATAATTAAATAAATAAAGAGTAAATCACGATTCAAAAATCCTCATTTATTAATACAAACAAAATTTCAATTTCAATTAAAAATCGAGCTTAAGCTACTTATAAAATTATTTATAAGTAATACAAAATAGACTCATTCAAAAATATTTAATTTATGTATGTTATTATCACAATAAATTAATGTTATGATTAAGCAAGTAAAAAATAAATTTAAATTCACTTTAAATCCATTTTTATTCAGAACTTCTCTGTAAACAATGTTCTTTTTAAATGTTCTGTTATTTTTTAGCCCATTGCCATTGAAAATATAAATGAACGTGCTCTACTTGCTGCCACATATAATTGTCCATGCGAAATTACTGGACGTCGCAATAATACACACATTTTTCCAAAACTTTTACCCTGCAATTTGATTATGGTCATAGCAAATGCACCTATTAATAGGAACGTTAGCCCTTTTGAACAAACTACCATTTATATTTTTATTTATATACTATTTAATATTTTTATTTATTGATAACACTAAAGCTCGCCAATATCTATTAAACAAAAAAAGAATGAAGAAAATCGGTTGAACAATAGAGGAGTAAAAGGGGCTGAACCGATTTGTGTTTACCTATTTATAAATGATATTGCATTTTTTTTTAGTAAAAAATGTATAACTCCTAGTTGCTTTTACAATGAGTTCTACAGATGTTAAAAAAAGAGAAGCTTTTTATTCCTTAGTTCTAAGAACGATACAAACTAAACAAAAAAAAAAAAAAAGGTCAACTGACATTAATACTATTCAATAGCCTGCTTTGAGAACCTGCTCTAAATTTAAATGAACATTTAACTGAAATGGATTTCTGTCGGTATAAATCGGAACAAAAAAATGTTTCGGCTACAAAAATTTAATATGAAATTTAACCCAAATCTCTTAAAATTAACTGTAAAAGTATGTAATCTGTTTTCCAAAAAAAAAAAATTATTAATATTCATGTCTCTGTTAGATTTATATTGTAACAGCTAAGTGAAGATTCGTACTGAATCTAAGTTTATATTTCAGAGCTTTATTAAACTTCAGTTTAGCCACAATAGATCCGTAGTTATTTCACCATAGTTTAAGTCGTCATCTCTTCAAATGAACCTCTTTTCAATGATAGATTTAAACAATAGACAGACCTTACAATAATTGGATGGCTAGAGACCATTAGTCAAAGCGAGCAATCTTCTAGAAGGGACCATTGGCCTTGCTCTAAGTGATAAAATTTTTATTTGAGATGGTTCATCAATTATTTAAACGAATGACCTAGTTCGTCCAGTATTCCATTGATCGCATCGGTTTCTGGTATGATACTTCCAATAACTAACGTTTTAGAGCTATTTGTTACCCAACATAATTGAGTGGTTTCAATACCTATTTAGCATGGGAATAGGCTGTTTCGTTTTTATTGTTTATATGATTTGCCGCATCTCGTAAAACATTAAATAAATGAATGAGGTAAGATCATGAGATATGGAAGCTTCCTTCAAAGCTCGAAGGTATAACGATAAGGAATCATTGGCAACTGTTTAGATTTTTTATAGGATTTTATATTAATAAATAGCCCCATTTTTTTTCTGATTTCCATCGAAAACTGAATGGAATGAACCAGGTTCCAAAATTAATCTTTCGTAATAAATAAAAAAAATGTCCGACTGTTTCTCCTTTGGTATGCTATTGCTAATATGTATTCAGGTTTGGGTATTATTCGATTGAATATTTATACAGCAAAAAATAAATAAAAATCGTATTTATTTTAAGTCAACAAGTAATTTTTTTCTTTTCTCTGTCCTTAAAATATTTTATTTTTTCTTATTTCTATGTATTATTTTGTTATTACTTTAGTTGTTTAATGTTTCTATAAATACAGTTTGAATGCACTCTCTGAACTCTATTATAAGTGTCCTTAACAGATTGTAATATTTCTCAAAAAACAAGTTTAAAAAAAATGTTTAATTGCAAATTAAAATTTATTGGAAATAAGGAATTTTCTATCCGGATTGGAAATTATATCCGAATACATTGTTAGTAATTGATTTTAAAGTAAAATTACAATCGTATATAGAAATTTATTCAGTTAAAAAATTGAATAATCGGAGTCTTTTAAGCAATAACAATTTCAATAGACTTGTGTTGAGTGTTCAATTTTACGTAAAAAATAAAAATATAATTTTCATTTTCACTAAATCATATTATTTGAGCTCCGATGTTGATCTCCACCGTGGGCCAAACGTGGGCAATCGTTAATTTTTTTTTTGTGTAAACTCCACCAGCACTCCATATTTGTAGTTAATTTTTGGTTGATCAATTGTTGAAAAAAAAAAAAAAAAAATATATATATATATATATATATATATATATATATATATATATATATATATATATATAAGAACACCGTATTAGCTATTGCTATGATCCTAGCCCCTCTCTCAGTTATCTTTGAAGTGCCATAAAAACTAAATAATTGGAAATCACCCATTTTCATAAAAATAAATAAAATTAATTTTTCTTGTAAACGTTATAGTAATTTTATTATTATTGAATTCTGCACTTTCTAGGCCATGGCCTCTAAAAGAAAATATTCTAATTTGCCTTAGCTGGAAGATTCGATTTCCTGGATCTTTTCTGTACTACCAGTTTAGTTTAGTTTTTTGAATATCCTTACTTGACGAAAAATTTGAATTTTTGGGTGATACCATACCTACCATCGCAGATGCGATGACTGCTTGGAGGAATCTGATGAATCGGTATATATTTTAATTTTATTACATTTCTGAGTACAAGTCATAAATTTGGCCATGATGAATTCACTCTAATATATCTATCTGCCCCATCACTACATTTCAATGCGAGTAACCTTTTGACGAATCCCATGTGGGTGTACCTATGAATCATTAGCTAAACGTTTATTAATTTATTAACCGAAGTGAAATGAGCGAAATGGGATGTCACGACCCTGAGTGTGGGCGTGAGGAGAGAAAGTGACAGAGGATATTAATACCTGGATATGGTAAACAATTTGCACCTAGCTCAGGTAACTCTTTCTAAGTTCCTAAAGGCAATTATATGTACTATTGAAGGATAGGTAAATACATAATTACATACCGATACATACATAAATACTGATAAGTTTCTTAATATTAAATGAAACAACCGCTCCTTATTGTTTTTATCGTCGAGGTCTACTTAAAAATGGAATAAGGTTCTCATAAATTCCCATTAACATCAACATAACATCTTTCATTAATAAATTATGATAAATTTTATATTTAGTGAATATTTATATTTAAAAAAAACAACAAATTTTTGGTGTTGAGTTGATAAAATTTTAATGTATTAGTAGTGTTGCCCAAATGCGAGACGGGTCTTGGTCTTGCAAACTTAGTCTTGGTCTTGCGCAACAGTCTTGCAGTTACTTATTAGCTTATTACTATAGAGATATTACTGTATTTTTTTAGATAAGAGAAACATAACTAAGCCCGAATGAAAAATTAGAGGAGTTAAATGCAAAAGTATATTGGTTATACCGATTCTTTACATATAGTAACTAAAATTGCCAAACATTAGTAACAATGTTGCCTTAATTTTTATTTTAAAAAATCGATTTTTTTTATCAGTCCTGGTCTTGGTCTTACACTTAGCAAGACCAAGACCGAATTGGGGCAACACTATGTATTTGTAATAGTTGTTAAATATTTTCAAATATGTATTTTTGACTACAAATGGACAGAGGACCCTGAAATGTCAGATCATTTGTGAATGAAAATTTAATATATTAATTTTAACAAATGGGATTATAACAGTTCCTAGTTATAGTAAATATGTAACTATATATTTTACTAAGGTTATTACTATTTTAAAAATAGTAAAATTTTGAATTTGGAATTTTCAAGTATATAACCTCGAATCCTTTCCTTAACTCCAGAATAACATGAATGAATGGTGTCATCTGTAAACACTGAAATATTTATGAATGACAGCAATATTCCGGAAGTCGATTACGTTATAGATTTTAAAATACTGTTGCATATTCAGTTATTACAATGAATGAGAGAGAATGAAGGAATAAAAAAAAAAAGGAACAAAACATAGAATAGATAGCGTTTTAATTTATATTGTTTTCATCCGGATTTCTCTTATAATAAAGTCATGGACTTGTTTTTTAAATTATATTAAATGAATTAAAATTTAAAGAATAAAACAAAGGTTTACTTCCTTTTTTAAAATGAATTTTTAGCAATTCTAATTTATTTTAATTTAATTTATTGTAATCGTTGAATTATAGTATATTATAAATGCCTAACGAAATTTATGATTGTTTTACTTTTTTTTTTTTAAATGTATAATAATACATGACATATTCTAATATATAGTGTATATTAATACATACATTTAAATATAAGTACATACATTTAAATCTCTTCTATTTAAATTAAAAAAAAAATGTAATGCTTATAATATTTTACACATATTTTCATGTCTTACAATTACATACGGTACTGATTTATTCAAATTTATCTTACATAGTTTAATTTTTATTCACTTTTTAAAATTAATTTTTTTGGTAGATAGCTTATATTTTGTTTTCATATTTAAATATCTTTAATGAAGGTCGTAAGCCATAACGTCGGGTCAAAATACATTTTTTGTAAATATTTATTTATTTCACATTTTGACTACCATTCCCCCTTCTAACTTTCCAACCACTTAATAAACATTTTTTTAAAGGATGGAGATATAAAATATTTATATAATTTTATCATCTTCG